TGGAATCAATAGTCGTAATCATTCAGTTGTTGTGTGTATCCTGGCTGGATAATTACGTTATCAAAGCCCAGAGCAGAGTCTCGCTTGTGCCTGAGTCACTGGCTCTGTTTTTTAACCCTCCCACTGACGAAAATGGTTTCATAACAGAATTGTTCATATCTGTAATCAGTAATCAGCTCCTCAGTTAGCCACAGTCCAACTTGATTGGTGCCCAGCAGTTTTTGCGTTTCGCAAGGTCACAAAGATGGCATCGACGCGCTTAGAGGCAAAGCTGCGACGACGACGACGACGACTTGCAGCCGCAATCTCTGCCAGCTCCTGGCCTCGTCAACATGAATGCCAGAGCAACATTGGCAGAGCTAAGCCATATCAGAGGCTGTTTGCTTTCTTCCATCAAAGGGCAAAACAACATCAAAGGAGAAAAATGGACACCCTCTGCGTGGGCACGTCTCCTGAGGCACTGTGGAAGGGCTGGGCTGAGGGAAGTTGCTTTCACAGAACTTGAAATGGAGATAAACACCCTGCGATTTCAGATCAAGCCTGGGTCTTTGATGCCATGAATTCAGCACTGACTTGTAGAACAGCATAGCCACTGATCCACACTTGTCCTTTTTCAATTTTTAATAAACAACTTTTAAAAAATGGACTTCATTAAGACGGATTGGCAGGTAGTGGAGTGTTGCATTTCCGTTGAAAGTTTTCCTGACACATCACTGAATTTTTTTCTGCACATATCTGTCAAAACACGGGTCCAGCTTCTTAAGTGTTTTGCTGTGCTCGCTGAGAAACATTTTCATTTGACAGCTGCAGGTTGGTTTGGCTTTTGGAAACAAAACTACTTGGCTATATTATGAACAAGATGACAGTTTAGGTTAAGTACTTCCTTAAAACAATTACCGTTGCCAGATGGGAAATAAACCTTAATCATTATTATTACACGCTTTGGTTTGAGCCATACTGTAGATGTAAGAAAATGCTCCTCTGGGTTCATTTTGTTGGAGAAATTCCCCTGCTACATGGTTGTCCGTGCTGGATAATACATTTCCCTTTACATAAATACGATTAAAAATGTTTCTATCCTGAATACAAGAAGTGTAGCTTTTTTACTATTCTAATCTTAAGCAGGGTTTCACCGCTGTTTCACCCTGAATGCATCATGACGTGCTGTGATCTTGTGCTATTGTGCTTTTTCTTCCCTCTGAGTCTCAGTTGGCCACTGTGTCAAATAACCTCAAAGCCCCCATCTTTCACACTTCACCTCTTTTTTATTCTCTGCCTCCTTTTGTCAGACAGAAGCTATAGCAGAGAGCTTTTCCAGTTCATAACAGACAGATAAACCAAAGTGTGAGAGTGCGGCATCAGAACTGGTGGGGGGAAGAAAAGCATCAGTCAGAACAGTTGTGTTTGGCGGTCCATTTATCAGTTGACTGCGAGAGCAAAAACACTGTATTTCACACTGTCGTAGTTCACTCCCACACTTTCCTTCCCTTCCCTCCTCCTCCTTCTCTGTCGTTATGGAAAATCTCCCAGGCTGCAGTCACTGTGGGCGAGCAGCCAGCTTGCTGCCACGGCTCCTATACATAACCGCAGAATAGAGGGAAGTCCAAAATTAAAAGCATTGTTACCCCTGCGGCTGGTGGCCACAGAACGATGGAGCGACAGACATATTTCATTGTGATGTTGGGTGACCTTGGCTTTGGCCTCAAGTCTGCGGCCCCTCCAGACGCATTATTCAGGGCCACAGTCTGGAACCTTCGAGGTCCAGGGCCTGTCAACGGTACCGCTGACAGGTCCTGGACCCTGAAGGTCCCAGACTGTACCAAGTCCAAGGGACAAGCAGATTGTTTGTTGATTTGTTTCTCTGCCTGTGGATGAAAACCAAAACTCCTGTCTCCTGCTTCTCCTATTTTCAAATTCTGTTTGAGCCCCATAATGTCCTTGTGAATGAATTTTAAGATAATGCACTATTAGAGTTGCCATGGTAATGGCTGCCGTCTGTGAGCAAGTCAGTTGCCATGCCACTTTTTTTTCTCTAGGAAGCTTATTTGCCTTTTGAACCAAAATGACTCCATGAATGGTAAGAAAAGCTGTCTCTTTAATCCCTGTTTTACATGTTTATCAGTTGCTGTTTGCAGACTGATGATTGCTGATGTTTTTTCTATGTAATAAGGGGTCTACTTCATCTGAGCTATTATTTTCACTTATTACTTTCTGTTGCCTTGTTTGAGGCTTAAAGGCAAAGTGGATTTTTATCAATTTTCCCAATTGTTGGTGCTTATACACTTCAGTTCTTGTCACTGCTGACATTATTAAGCGAAGAGGATGTAGAAAATCATATGCATGAAGTCGCCTTCTTTATATTTGCCAGTAGTGCTGTAGTACTAGATATCAGTCTCGGTCTAAAGACCACTTTCTGAAGGTCTCATCTTGGAATCCAAAGCATTTTTACTCGGTCTTGTCTCCGACTCAGACTGGGTGGACTCTGGATTTTAAGTTAAGACCGGTTAAGACCACCACAATTAGGCTATTTGCCGTCATCATTACTGTGATTAGAAGGAAAACATTTTCATTGTTATTTATGGTCTTAAAGTCAGTAAGATATCCCTGAGTTTCAAAGCTGTTCAGACGCCAAAACACTGCAGGAGGGGCGATGAAAATTATGAGGAAGGTCTTCTAAAATGTGAAAGTAATTGATTACCAGTTCCTTTTAGAATGAGCTCCCTATTGTCTCTTTTGCATATCTGATCAAGTGTTTTTTCACTCTTAATGTTGATCTAGTAACATCGTATAAAGGACTGCATTCTATGCTGTATTGGTCCATTATTATCCATACAGGAAGACTCCCTTTCTACGTTGTTGTCCGTGTATTAAGCGTTGCAGCAACAAAACTGTCAGTAGCTCCTTGTGAAGCTCCCGTCCTTTTGGCGGTGCCACGACCCTGACTGTCATCCCGTATTATCTTCTACCTGCACACCGCCGCAGGAGGCCGAAGCAGCATGTCTTTTGTCCCTGTGTGTCGTCCTCTTTTCGCAACAGAACCATGCTCTGACCTGTGATAACAAGTATAAATGAAAAACACGCCCTCTGCCTATCTCTTCTCCCCCCCCACACACACACCTTCCCCTAGCCTCACCCCTTCTGCCCTGCAAATTAAAAAGCGTGTCAATGAGCCTGCTTTGGCCTGGCAGCGCTGATGAGTAGTAATCACCGTGGAGAGGCTCAGCTGCTCTTTTTCGAAAACCCTGCCATGGAGCTCATTAGGCTAGGAACATGACCCTTAAAAAAAATAAAGTACAAGGAAGGAGAAGGACTGCAACGTTATTTTCTCTACAGCTTCATGTCTTTGCTTTGAGTGGATGAGTGGAGAGGTTTTGGATGTTTGCGTCTATTCCTTGCGATGTGAAGCTGTGAAGAATTCATTTTCTGCCGCCGCTACAACTGCATTCTTACAGCCTCATCTCTCTCGCAATTACTCGCACTAGCCTATAACCCGAGCTATTATAGTCAAATCTGTGAATTAGGAACAGTGAAGCAGTGAGCGTCTCTGTTTTCATTTTCTTAACAGTTGGAAAAGAACAATATTGTGTCCACTTGTGATCTAAACGTGTGCTTTAAAAGCCTTATTTTTGATGATGTTCTGTTCAGAAAAGGAGAAATAGAGAAAACCAATTTGCTACTTAATAAATTGTTCAGTACTTTTACTTAAATGTTCCCTTTAAATAAACAACATAGTTAAAGACGTTAAAATAAAAATAACCATAGGTAGGCAGATAGTTTGGAGTCCTCCACTTAGCTAACAAAACTAGCAAAACATGACAGAATCCAGGAAATACTTTAATATTTTCATGTTTAACTACTGTAAAACGGCACGTTTGCTTAAAAAACTAACTTTGATATCGTAACTGACTTATACCCACATTTTTTGGTGTAATTTTAGAAATCTTCTAACGTGTTTTTGTGTTGTGCAGTCAATATAAATCATTGTCAGCTAGCTATATGGCTTACCTAATCTACTTCAATTTCATATATCCCAATAGTGAACAAGCATTAAAAGGTTGCCACAATGGCAGCAATATGAACAGGATGACTCAGATGCTGTTTTTCCTGTGAGGCTGCATTTCTGAGAGATTTAAGCCTCATGGAGGGATCAGCACCCTACTACCCTGTGCTTTTGTTGTCCGTCCCTCTCATCTCGCGTGTCTCTCGCAGGAACACAGGTCGCCTGAAAACAGAACCTTCGTCCTGGGGGGCGCAAATCCAATTTCACATGTCACACTCACATCAGATTATTCATGCAGGTAGGGTGAAGGATGCTTAGGTGTGTGTGTATATGTTCTAATACACCTCTTTAGAGTGTGAATGTGTGTGAATGTGTGTGAATGGTGTGGGCACGTGTTGCCCAAGGGCATTTCCAGAAAGGGAGCAAACATGCACATACACACATGCATGCACGCACTCATAAGGGGTGTGTGTGTGTGTGTGTGTGTGTGTGTGTTTGTGTGTGTTGCCTTTCATTGAACAGAAGGCCATCAGTTAGTCATCCGCCTGAAGAGCATCCCTGGGTACATGTCTAGTGGACATGCACACAGTGGCTGTCCCAGAACAAGGCTTACTGGTCAATGTTTAATGCTCTGTAATTGGTTTCACTGACCAGCACAGCATGCAGGATGCCAACGCTGATCCAAAGCCTGGCAGTTGAGACCAACCATCGCTGAAGTCCCAAACGATCTTTTATTTTGAAACTGTGGCTGGTTGTAATTCATATTATCCGCTCTGAGAGGTAATGGTTGCCTGGCAGTCATTTAAAGGATTAAATTGTCAAGGGTAATCTGTACGATCATGTTTAGAAGTCCTCTTCTGTGTCTTCTCTCCTTAAAATGCCAAAACTTAAGTTTCCAAAGTATATCACACTGATTCTTCAACAAGACAGGGATTCGATTTTGATGTCTGAAAGCTCAGTTTCTTTCTCTCTCTCTCTCTCTCTCTCTCTCTCTCTCCAGAGAACCATGAGCACTGTGGAGGAGGAGCCGGATCACATGATACCATGAAGACAAGCCTGCAGGTCCTGCGCTGCCAGCTGCTGAGTGAGTAGACCCACGCTGGTGGGACACGCACATCAACAGGGTGTCCTGAGTCTGCAACCAGGGACCAGAGGATGCCCTGCATGGTCAGAATAAAAAAAAACATCTTGGAAAGTCATGTTACAATCCTACAAAAAAGGACTTTAGCAACGTTGAACTCTACATTTTTATTCAAACAATTACCAGAAACACATATTACATGAAACATTGGGCAGTTTGGTTTGTTTTCGAGCATCCATGGGTTTCCTTGGTGTTCATGCACTATTCACTTGATATGGGCTGAATTAAAGGAAGATGTGACAACTGGAGTTAGTTTTGCCATTGCAAAGTTGTCTGTGTGAGGGTTAAAAATACATTTTAGTGCATGACATTTTTGTAAAATATCAAGAAGATTGCGGATTACATGAAATTTCTTCATCTCACTCCTATGAGAATGTCGATATAGTTCCCAAAAGTATTCATTAATGATGCCTTTAGTACAACAACTGTTGCTGTATTTTCCTGCTGGCCTGTTGTGTTTGAATAAAAAAAAAAAAAGGGATTCAGATTGTGTTAATAAATTGCATCCCATGTAGTTGATGTTATAGTTCAAGTTTATACCGCTTTAAATTCAGGGGACAAGATGGGAGTGGATGTTGGAAGCTCTGGCAGGCTACCAGCCCAGAATGTCACATGAATATGGAGCATGGGGGGGGGGGGGTCAGACTGGGACCCACCAGGATCCTGGACGGTTAGCTAAACAGGCTGATGAAATCTTGTATGCACCCTCGAGCTCCACCTCAGGGCAGCAGTGCCAAAAAAAAAAGGCTGTCTGCTGACAAATCTGCCTCAATCCCTCCGAAGTGATAAACTGGACTGCTGTGGGGGCAGTGCTTTGAGCTGTAGCGGAGGTGGTGGGAGGTCACATTGAAGCGGTTTAATCCAGAGAGGGCGGAGTAGCTTTGTGAGCAATGGTGGGACAAAATATCGAGTCGACACAGCAAAATATAATCGCTTTGACTCGTGTGATACAATTATCGAATCTCTGGGGCCAAATATCAATTTTTAAAAAGAATACAGATCTTAAAAAAAAAAGTTCCCTGCCAATTTGACTCATCATGTTGCTACTTCATGACTCCTCATCATGGTATTGTAATTTTATCATCATAGTACCGTACCGTATCATTTTAAATCAAATCGTGAGAGACCCCTATTTGGGAGAGTTGATACTGACACAATATTTAAGACTCCGTTTTTGTCGTAATGTCCAATGTTTGTGTTCAGAGTTCGGAGCTTTACTTTTCCATCAGGGTTTCCTTTTTGCCTGAAATCTCTGTGCATTTCGGAGACATTTCTCATTTTCCGTCTCTGGGTGAGCCTGCAGGAGACAGATGTGCTTAAACACCCTGAGGCTGCAGCAGGAGAAGAGATGCTGCGGATAGAAGAGAACTTAGATGGATGATATCACATTATTATAGCTTTCTGAGTATTCAAGTTTCTCTGTGTGCCTCCAGTCAGCCTCTTTGCTGTTTTCTGTTCTTCTGTCTTCTCCCTTTTTAGCCAGTCCGCCCTTTGTACGTAGTCAAGCCTTCTGTGATGACATAACACGACTGAATCAATTGGGGGAACTTAGTTGTTTATAGCAAATGAGGTCTTGTCTGGCATGCTCAGTCTTCAAAGCAAAGCCTGACAAATGAGGCTATTTGTGCAAATTGTGTTTTTTAATCCTTAAAAATAGATGTCTTGAAAGGCCTGTTAGTCCGAAGTAGTGCAAATAATGAAACAAGCCTCAAGTAATCTCAGCCTATCACAATCCAATTTTGTCTTTTCAAGTATTATTAAAGTGTTCCTTGCAACACATTGTTGAACAAAGGAACAAAGAACAGTGAAAATGTTGCCCAACCTGGCAGTGTCTGTGATGTTAGAGGAGTTGTATGACCACAAGCCCGCAATTCCCTCCGCATTCAAGACAACTTGTTGTTTAATGTTTCTCCTTCCTGTTAGGTCCTTTGCCTCTGTCACAGCAGCTAAATCATTATCCCAGTAAACAGCTCAAGAACCCTTTGTTGTTCCTGTTTTTCGCATTCTCCCTCGGCCTGATCCTCCGATAAACACGTCGCTGTTCAAAGCCGCTGCAACCTGACAAACAATTTGCAGAGCATTCAAACAGGAAGCCATTATCCTGTTTCGAGAGCTTTTCTCTCTTATCAACGGCCTCACATCTGTGGTTCCCTCCCCGCTCCGCCACTCCGCCACGCCGCCACTCCACCCTAACTGTGCTGCTCCACCAGGACGGTTTCAGAGGGCCACAGGATGTGCCCTATCTGTCTGTTTCCACCCCACGGGACACCCACTCTGTGCAGAATGGCAGACGAACACACCCAGGAGCGACCAAAGGAATTTGTCTGTTTGTGCTTCTGTGAAGATGACGTTTCTATTTATATAAGATATGTATACATCTCTGATTAGGATGAGTTCCAGAAAGTTCTCACTGTTAAAGTCATATTACAGATTTTAACAAATATGTTGAGTTCATCATATCCTGAAGGCTTTACAACCTGAGCTTTTGATTATTGCAGATGTCACCATTAAAAATGCTTTGTTTTCCCTCGTATGCGTTTACAAATCAGGAACTGCAGGAAGATTTAAGAGGATTATGACATACATGATTTTTTTTATTATTTCAGTAACAATCAAATATAGTGACACCGAAAAGAGAATGATGAACAATAGGAGAAAGAAAAGTGCTTAAGTGGTTAGTAGACTTCTCTACCGCATGCCATTCCCCGCTCTCTCTCTCCCCTCCATTTCTGACTCTATCCACGGTCCTATCTCGAAAATAAAGGCAGAAAAAGCCCAAAAATAAACCTTTAAAAAAAAGAAAAGTGCCTATGCTTACATTACAAGGGGCAACAATTACAATTATTGTATTAGGGGAGCTGGATAGCCTAGCAGTTATGTTGCTATTGCGGGTTCAAATCCAACATTGGCCCTTTGCTGCATGTCGTCCCCCACTTTCTCCTCCCAACGTTTCTGTCTCTCTTTAGCTGTCCTATCCAATAGAGGCAAAAAGGCCCAAAATATAACTTTAAAATGAAAATAAAATAAATGATTGTAATAGAGGTATGTTCACAGTTAGACCCGTAAAGTGTTATTATTAGTACAGTACATGCAATTAGTAGAAGTAGTGGAAACTGCAGCAGTTATAGTAGTACAAGCAGCAGTATTAGTATAAAGATGTAATGGACTTAAGGTAGGTGAAGTAAGGCTAAAGTAGCACAAGTAGCAACATTAGTAGAAAAAGTACTAGTAGTAACAGTTGTAGTATTTGCCTATAGCAGCTGATGTAGTATTATATTCTTACTTATTGTTATAGTTGCTGCAGCAGCAGAAGTGAATAAAAGCAGTGATGTTGGTAATTGGACCTCCAGAAGTAGTAATTGGTTTTAATTTTTTCTACTATTAGCTGTATAGTCGGTGGATGTGTGAATGATGGTAGTACAGGTAGCAGTGATATTACTACTGTAGTCATACTGTTGGTAGTAGTAAAATTGAAGAAGTGCTGCGGGTCCATTGAAGCTGGTGAGGGCCGACAGCGCTCTGTCCAGGCGTGATAATCCGATCTTAGCAGCAGTTAGTCAGACAGCAGCTCCAGTTGGCCAATTGATAAAGGGTTCAGTCTGCCTGAAGCTGATGGATCTGATCTGCTTCTGTGGCTCTATGATGGCCCGTCAAAGCTTTAAATTAAAGGCTCAGACTACCTTTAACAGAACTCCCCATTTAAAGGCTTTGACTTTGATTCAGGTCTGTCAGGGTTTATCCTCCAAACGTGAGATATGAATTCATTTTGTGTGAGATAACAGAGCTGTGCGGCGTGTGCCTGTATGGTGTGATAGAGGCTCATTGGTATTCTGATGAACGCCGTTGATAAAGCCTTCTCCATTTGCCCCGCGGGATTTCGGGGGGGAATCCCACAGAGGTTTGTCCACTATCGCAGAGTGGTTTTGATTAGCATAAACGAGGCTAAATGTGATCCATGGAGGGCCGGGCGGGTTGGGAAGAGGACATCCTTAATTATTGGTTATGGTTCACTGTCCTGGGGTTTCAAAACCAGCACTCATGTTTATCCCATTAGAAGATGAGATGGACATTTTGTACTTTTATTGAGTGAAACAGAACATCACAGAGTGCGAGGGAAGGCAGATGGCCTTCTGTGTCTTGCTCAAGGGCACATTATCATGATTGTTAACAGACAACACTGTTTAAGAATATAAATGTTGTTCCGACAGCCTCAGACGAGCACTGGCAATATTCAAAACCACCTTGACAGGTGCTTGAAAAGTGAAGGTAAAGAGTTTCAGAAAGATGTTTATTTAATCGTATCAGAAGGCTTTGTTTGAATGAGTCTGATGAAGTTCAACTTAATGATCAAAATCAAGTAACCATTGAATGCCATTGAGGACAGTGAGGTCATATTCCCCTCTTCCCCCTGCATCCATAAGGCAAATGTACCTGTAAGTCCCTGGACAAATAAAACATGTTAAGATAAAAGCTTAAAGTGTTTTTATAAATATTATCCAGGTGGCTCTTAAGAGAAAGTTATTTTTTGTGAGGATATCAAGCTGCACATTTTGTATACTATAGTGCTCAGTATTTCATACCCTTGAGGATTTATTGTTCTTATTCTATTTAATTCATTTGTTCATGATGTGAATTTGGCAAAATTGCCATTGCATGTACAGTATGTGTGTCGCTCACTTTACATATAGTTGCCTCTTCATTCCCTGTCATGCTGCCTGAGCAGGGAGATGACTGAGGAGTAACTTTGTACCGCATGACGATCCTTACTGATGGATGATTTTGCAGCTCCTATTTTTGGCTTCCAGAAGAGCCTCCAGTTTCTAAAATTGACGCTGCCAGCGGGCCACCGATGATGCGACACTCCCATCCTGGCTGCAACACTTGCCTCATAGGCAGATTGTTGCTGTGCATTCAAGCTACATCTTTCTCCATTGCATGTAGCA